CCCCCCCCCCCCCCCCCCCCCCGTTACGTCAATGGCAATATTTGCAGTGGAATAAAGGTAAGTAGATCCAGTTCTGTGAATCCTGTTTCTTCACAAGTTATTTGATATGAAAGAATAGAATAGCGGATAATTATTTCTTCTGAAACTGCCACGTCATGTATAAATTCTTAATTATTCAAAAATATACGAGATCTCAAAATTTTATTCCAAATTTGCTGAAAATCTCCGAACATGTAACTGGGTTTATTTAAAAAATCGGCTTAAAAAAGTAAATGTTCGTGGTTTTTGGAAAAGTAGAATAATTTCTTTGAGGTGTTTGAGAATGAATTTTCAGTTCTAAGATAAGAGTTCAACCGGTTATTTGGGCCTTGTTATTGATATAGGCCCAAGCCAATAACCTGATCCAAAAACCCAAGTTTTGTGTACCCAGTTCACATACTAGCTCGAGAAGTTTATCCTCGCAAAGGATAAGACTATGGGGGTGACCATACCTATCGGGGACCTCATTATGGCTTCAGCATAGGACACCATACTGTTTCTGGGGCCCATTTCCTGGAATTGTTGCACGGAGGCAAAGATATATGACTGCATGAGGCCATCAAATGACTTTGTGCATGCATAACCTGTTCACGTTAGTTTAGTAGTCGAACAAGGAGTAAATCATAAATTTTTATATTTTCAAGTTCGAGATTTTTAGATCATATAAATTTAGATTTGATCGGAAATACATGTTTGTATATATATATATAATTTATCTTGTTATTCTGAATTTAAAATACATATTATTGAGATAATATCAAATCACAAAAAACAAAAGAACAGTGTGCCTGGGATGATGACATGGACCAAACCAACTATCAAGCGGGTGGAGTGGGCAGCGAAACACGGAGGACAGCAATGTAGGGACAGCTCCGGCAGTTCTGGGCCCAATTAACAAGCCCTAAGGCCAAATTCAAACCTTGTTCCACGTGTGGTAAGGCCCACATCTCTCGATCAACCTTGAACCCTAGCGTAACCTTTCTTTGCATTGCATTTATTATGCAGAGGTGCAATCCTTATCGTCTCACTTGTTCCTTGCCCCTTGCCCCTTGCCCATTGCCCCCACCCCACCCCACCCAAACAAAAAAGGTTTACATTTTTGTTGCATCTCACTATTGATAAATTAATTGTGGCAGGAGGCTCAAAATTTTTTCAACTTTTCTGGCTGTAACAAGCAAATATATTTAACTTACTTATCGGAATATATATATATATATATACTTTATTTTCTTGAACCAAAATACAACCAACAACTTTTATAAGTCTTTATCTCTCTTAAAAAGTTCGATTAGCTGTGATGGAGTGTGTAATTGTGTGTTTTAAACTTTAAATTTAAATGCAAATGCATGTCATATGCCGAAAGCAACCAAAGCCAACCCCATCCATCTATTCATATAGATTTTTGTAAAGGTTCTAATTTTGAATCCAATTTATTAGTAAATTAGATTTCAGACAGCAATAATGATTCGGAATTCGGAAGAGAAGTTTGATAATTAAATTTGAAAAAGGTGTACAAAAGAAAAAAAAAATCTGGTCATAAAGATGTACCCACCAAAGAAAGGTTTAGGAATTCTGAAGAACTATTAATTGATAATTAAATTTGAAAAAGGTCCACAACAACTTTATGGAGTGATTTTGATTGGGTAGCACATATAAGTGGAATTGGGATAGAGTCCTGGATAAGGAAAAAAATATTAGATGTAACGGTGACATTGTATGTCATTGATTAATGATGTAGTGTCACTAATTAGCGATAGAATACCAATTGGATTTAGTGGGTTTCATTATTTTACTAACTACCAATAATTATTTCTATCATGTTGGAATAGTAGGGTTTATTAATACTATTTATTATTTTATAATTAATTAGTGATATTACATAATAATAATAAAAATGTGACATTACTGTTACGCCCAATATTTACGGCTGGACAAGCACTAAATTTTTTTTCAAATCCTTGATTAAGTCTAAGTAAGAAGTGGACCCTTTGTGTGTGATCTTTAACATCTTACAAAGATGTGGTGGGTCCACTAAGTTGTCCAGTGCCACTCTGATTTCCATCATCTATGAGTGTTTTTTGGTGTGATATAGGTGCATATGGATATGTCTTCGGATAAGAAACCTATATTGTTGGTTATAGCTAATGTATGAATCTGCAGAACGAAGATGTTTAAGGATAAGCTTAACATACAGGATTTAGGTCCTTTTTAATATATATTTTTAATGATTGATCAGTAGTGATATATTAGTGAGGGCACCACTTATGTATAATGGCTTTTATTTAAATTTATGGTTGACAATCTATTATTAATAGAAATTAAGATATTAGAGAAGATCTACATTCTATATATTTGTATATAATTTTTAGACTTATATGTGTTTAAGGACGTCAAAATATGATACGAACCTTTAATATGACACAAAATTAGAGGTTTTCATTTTTTTTGGGAAAAAAAAAGGGGTGGAATAAAAGAAAACGCCTAAAGACCATCTTGATAAATCCTCATTGGTGGGATTATGAGGCCTCAGACTGTGCATGTTACTCCTCTCAGAAATGAATTTAGCTAGTCTAACATAGTGGCTAATTACCGAGCTTTAATGTGGACTCCAAGCTCGAACTTTCAACCTCAGCTAAAAAGTTTGACTGGTATCCCACTAGATCATCCAACTCGGTGGTATGAAATTAGAGGCTTAAGTCTCCCTTAAGCCACTTGTTTTGTAAACGAGTAAATTTGACACGACACAATTAATGAACAAATAGGGTATGAGTGAAGTTAATTATAAGAAATACATGATACGACTTGTGTATATATCGATTATACACGATACGAATCCGATATGACATGATTTATTAGAAACGAACAAAGAAACGATTCAAGTATGAGTGGAGTATTTTTTTGACACGAACTGACTTAGACCTAACACAATAGACAAACCTATATGCATTATTAAGTCAAAATTATGTGGTTACCTTGTCCAAATTCTCTTCTCTCTACAGTTCTTAAGCCACATTAGTGAAGAAACCATTTTGTATGCTTGACAAAATCCAAATTTTCAAGTGTCATCTTGTCCTATTTTCAAATTTATTGCCATTAATGTTCGAAGGTGTTGAATCCATTCAATAATTTGTCTTACAACCAACGCTGCAATCTGTGGATGAAACTTGCCACTGTAGTCATCAAACTGTACTGTCACATATTTATTTGAACGCGGAATTGTTTGTGGTTCACATATTCACGTACCCATCTATGACTTTCACAATTTAAGAAGCTTTGGGCAACGACTTTCATTACCTTATGCCAACGTTCTATACCACGAGTGTTATATTCTAGAATGGTTGGACCTGACTCTTCCATACGACTCTAGCAATAAATATATGTCAAGCCACCAATTAGTTTCGTCTAGAGAAAACTTTAATCATACTTGCAATTTAGGGGAGGGAATATAGCATGTATAATTTGATCTTAAATCAACAATGGACAGGCAAAACTCTAGCAAGTGTACCGAGGATCAACTATTTTTTTTTGTTATAGGGTATTTAAACTTGCACCGATTATTTTTTCGAGCTTAACGACTGACTACCGTGGCTTGAGTTGAATTAAATTATGTCCTTAAAAAAGAATAAAGGTTGTTAGTCCTTGAAAGGTGTGGAAAAAAATTAAACTTGAAACTTTTTCGTCACTAAAGGTAGATTCAACTGTTGAAATACCGCTAAGGGTTACTGATGCTCAAGTTACAATCAAACAAATACATTCAGAAGTAATGATGGATTTTATTTTTTATAGTTTTTATTTTTGGGGAGGAGGAAGGGGACTTGAACTNGTAACGGTGACATTGTATGTCATTGATTAATGATGTAGTGTCACTAATTAGCGATAGAATACCAATTGGATTTAGTGGGTTTCATTATTTTACTAACTACCAATAATTATTTCTATCATGTTGGAATAGTAGGGTTTATTAATACTATTTATTATTTTATAATTAATTAGTGATATTACATAATAATAATAAAAATGTGACATTACTGTTACGCCCAATATTTACGGCTGGACAAGCACTAAATTTTTTTTCAAATCCTTGATTAAGTCTAAGTAAGAAGTGGACCCTTTGTGTGTGATCTTTAACATCTTACAAAGATGTGGTGGGTCCACTAAGTTGTCCAGTGCCACTCTGATTTCCATCATCTATGAGTGTTTTTTGGTGTGATATAGGTGCATATGGATATGTCTTCGGATAAGAAACCTATATTGTTGGTTATAGCTAATGTATGAATCTGCAGAACGAAGATGTTTAAGGATAAGCTTAACATACAGGATTTAGGTCCTTTTTAATATATATTTTTAATGATTGATCAGTAGTGATATATTAGTGAGGGCACCACTTATGTATAATGGCTTTTATTTAAATTTATGGTTGACAATCTATTATTAATAGAAATTAAGATATTAGAGAAGATCTACATTCTATATATTTGTATATAATTTTTAGACTTATATGTGTTTAAGGACGTCAAAATATGATACGAACCTTTAATATGACACAAAATTAGAGGTTTTCATTTTTTTTGGGAAAAAAAAAGGGGTGGAATAAAAGAAAACGCCTAAAGACCATCTTGATAAATCCTCA